ACATATGTTTTACACCATTCATATGGGGGGGGGGGGCAGGGGGGGGGGCCGGGGGGAGGGGAGGTGCTGAGAGCTTTATGGGATCTGCACTCACACGTGCACGCGCACGTACACGCACACATACAAACACATCAAGATGACAGTTTCCAGCAGCAGGAGAAACTCCGCTCGCAGACAAGAGGAGGAAGTGATCCAGAGGAACAGCAGCAGCAGAGAGAAGAGCTAAACTAATTTAATGGAACACACACACACACACACACACACACAGAGCAGTGCATGGACATGATACCACCAGCAGTGCATGCTATGCTAATGGGATGATGAATATCAGCTGTATGACGCTGTTGTATTCCAGGAAAATCAGCCCCCACAGCAGCAGCAGCAGCAGCAGCAGCAGCAGCGTGGAGTCGGACCATAATTCTCACTCACTGCAGCGATGACAGTCCAGTCCTTCTGAGAGGAAGCTGGGTCAATGATGATGATTAAAGCCCCGCCCCTTACACTTTTTTTTCCGACTCACTGCTGTGATTTCTCCTCACATGATAAGAAGAGTAAAGGCCCTGGTTGTTGTCTCATGACCCTGTATGTTCTGACTTCAGAACCTCTACTTCCCTCCTTCATCAAATCACTTTTTTTGGACCATGAACAGCTTTGATAATCTGAAGTATGAACACAAATTAATACGCAGTAGGTTTTCTCCACTAAATCAGACAGAGCAAATTAACACGGCCGTCTTTCTTCGTCTTCCTCTCCTCCTGCTGTTCTGTAAAGAATGATGGGTATTTATGACCTAATTTACCCTTGGGGTAACTCAGGTTAGTGCTTCATATTTTAATGTGGTTAAGACTGAGATGAAGGGAGGTGAGAGTAGCTCTAAAGCAGTACTAAAACAAAGTACTCTGAGACAAGGTTTGGGCATTTGTCCATACTGTCAAACACTGGGACAGACAAAATGTCAGGACTGATTTTTTTAAGTTACCACTCGGAATGTTTGCTTAAACCTTCTCAACACTCTGATTTAATGGACCTTAAATATCTGTGAACAAATGAACATTTATTATATAATCTAACTAAGTGATGATGTCATCTTCTTCCTGTCCCTTCTGTTGTTAAAGCCCCGGTTCATCCGTTCATGTTCGAACCATTTCTCTCCCCCGGGCTCTGGGTTTGAACCAGAACTGTGACATCACTGCCGTTGGCCCCTCCCCTGGCTTTGACCTAAGCTCAGATGGTTCAAGCAGAGCCAGAACCAGAAGAACTGTCCAGGAAGCCACCTCCTCCCTGTGGAGGAGCTTTGTAATATCCCATCTGGTTCAGTGGTGACCTGGACACTCAGCAGGAGACGGAGGACTTAGAGAAGGACACCTGGACTACCATTGTGTGATCCCACCCCAAAAAAATAAAGACAGGACGAGAGGGAAATGTTCTACAGGGTTTTTCTAGAATCTTTGAACAATAAGATTTCTTCATGATTTAATATCAATTTGGGCAAAAAAAAGTTTGGTATTTTACCTTTTTATATTAACTTTTTTTTGTCCAAATTGCCTTCAGTCTTTGGTTTAAGGCTTAATGAATATCATTCATACGGAAGAAAGTATTTTTAAAAATACACAACGGTGTTTTGAGGATATTTGACAGGGTTTTCAAAATAGACGGATTTCTGCCCAACAGTCAAAGAACTTTACTTGTTTCCTTGTTTACCATTTCATGTTGTGATAATGTAGAACAGAAATAAATAATTTGGTTACAAATTGGCAAAATATCTGAGCTAACCCAGGCTAAAAAGCTAATGATAACATGCTAACACCAACAGAGTGACAAACAGTTTCCCATCGCCATGACTTGGCGTTTTTAGCTAATTTCGCTTGTAAAGATCATATTGTGTTGCAGATGTTCACGCGCATGCGCACACACACACACACACACAAAACTGCATAGACATGATAACAACAGAGAGTGCTGACTCACCCTGCGTCGCTGCTGTTCCCGCAGATCAGTGCGTCCTTGGCTCCTTCCATTTTGTAAAAATTGTCTACAAAACAAATTTAAAAAAAGAATAAAGTCAACCATCTTATAAACTCCGCCCACACAGGTGCATTTTTCAACTCCCCCATTTTGATTGGCCGTGTCCTCTGGGCTGCACTCAGACACACCTGGTGACTTTTCACTAGTACAGTGGAAAAGTGTGTGATTTTCGCTGACGTTGACAGGGGAACTGCTGTTCCGCCGCTGACTCACGCGGTGAGTTTGTGTCTCTTAGTTTATTTTAAAAATATATATTTTATATATATTTTAAAAAAGCTCTGACAACCTGGACGTCGGTGTAGAAGAGTGAGTATTTGCAAACTCTAATCCACGTTAAAGGGCAGAAAATTACTTTTTTCCGAGGGCACGCACTCTTTGTGACTCAGTCCTTATTTCTTTTCATTCTTAAGTCCAACTAATTAACCAAAGTCCATTGAGAAAGTGCGTAATTTGAGCTTCTTGCAGAAAGGCAGGAGCACTAACCTTTCTGTCACTCTTCGTGTGGCCGTTAAATCATTCAGCTCCATTAATGTTCACAGTGTGTGTTTCTGTACAAGAGTGCTTCAGGTCTGAAAGGACACAAATTAACTGCTTTGGAGTTGATAATATTTTAGTCCAAAGAATTGTATTTTTTTTTATTGGACCTTTGATCCTCATGATTAATCCCTGGTTGGTCTTCAAACCCTCAGCGAGGGTTGGTGAGATCTTGGCTCGTGGGCCGTTACCACAGGATCAATAAACTTGTCCAACTCCTTCTAGTTGTGGTTTGGCTGCTGCCTCTGGTGTGTGAGCGAAAGAGCCCATTATGGCGGCGATGTTCTAAACACTCACATCTGACCACAACTACATTAATACGACTGTGATACGGTCACACCGGGCAGCGACGCCCTCACCAGGCTGAAGAGAGCGTTTAAAGGCTTTTAATATTCAGGAGAGAGAGAGATTCTTCGATGAGGTCTGAGGACACAACGGTTGGAGTCTTTTCTATTACAGGGAAATAATATGAGGAGAAACATAAAATAAAATAAAAAAGAAGTTAAGAGAGAGAGAGATTCTTCGATGAGGTCAAAACGAGTCTACAGACCAGGGTCCACTGCAGATACACTACAGAGCGACTTTTCTATTACAGGGAAATAATAAAAAAAAGAAGTTGTGTGATGACGTGGAAGAAGAAAACATGATGGATGAGGACACAGGAGTGGAGAGAAAAATTAGAGAGGATAAGATGGAGGACAAAGACGACAAAGGCAGAGGAGAAGAAGGTGACAAAGTGATGGAAGAATTAAAGAAAGAGGTGGAGAAGAATATGATGATGAAGAAGAAAGAAGAAAAGGACATGAAGTTAGCTAAATGAGAAGATTGGGAGAGAGGGATAGAAAAAAATTGGGAGGAGAACGACGAAGAAGAAAAAGTTAACAAAGAAAAAGAAAAATGTGGAATGACAAATTCAAGTGAATAATGAGGAACTCAGATGAAGCAGCAGGACTTTGAGTGAATGCTATAATTTCTCTTGCACCGCTGCCTCACAGACAGAACATACAGGGCATTATGGGAAACGTCCAGCTCATGGACATTGATCTGACGGCTGTTTTGAGTCGGCCTGAGTGGGCGGAGCTCTGACGGCGCAGAGCGGCTCTCGGATTTCACAGCAGCAGCTTTTAGGGGGTCGATACGGAAGCCTACAGGGGACATTTGTTTGATGTGATGGATGGAAAAGCAAAGTGGAAACGAACAAACACCAGCAACATTAGCAACGGGCAGCAAACTCTATTACTGTTTCTTTTAGATGGACATTGCCTTGAGAAGAAAGTAGAACATGCACCAATGGACTTCCTGTTTTGTTTTTTTTTAAACTGAGTTTTTAAAATATGTGGAATGTTCTAGGTTACTTAGAACCTCCGTTTTGTGTGTGTGTGTGTCTAAGTTTTTTTTGGGTCAAATTATCTGTAAAAAATATCTGTAAACAAGTTTTGACAAGGCTTCTGTCAGTACTAGCCTGATGTATTTTCTTGTGTGTACTCCGTAGTAGACTTGTACTCAATGATTTTCTCTACAGTCTCCTTGGATATTTTATATCTTTTCCCAACGATGCAGCCAGAATTCCAAATCCAACTCTAAAAAGCCTTTCTGCATTGATCTCCACTCCAGTACTAGTCCAGTTATTTGTCCATTAACATCTAGGATATTTGTTGTTGTCTTCCTAAGGTTAAGAACATTCTCTCCAGTCTCCAGTTTGCTCGACCCTAACCCTAAGGTTTTTTTCTTCCCACTTCACGAGGAAGCCACATAATGTTGTAATGTTGTTTTGCACCAATAAATCTGTCCTCAAGGGATATCTGCTGAGAACATGCAATGTCTATGTAGTGTACAGAGTTCTCAAGAAAATGGACAAGGAGAAGATGGAAACTGAAGTGTCTGAATCTGACGACTGACGATCTGGAAGTGGTTTCACTTGGGAAAAACTATCCAGCTAAAATCAGCTGATCAATACTTCAAAAATCCACCTGGTCCTTCAGTTCAATTCATCTAGAACGTTTCTAAAGGGAAAGATTATATGTACACGTACAGTATGTACAACCGCAGGACATGAAGACTTGAAGACAAACATTTTAGTGACAAGTCCAGGTTGAAAGATTTAGTCGAATAAATAATAAATGCATTAAGGCTCTGTAATGATTTAGGGCTGCATTTCAGTTTGTTAGAGATCTGGTCCCCACACAATTAAGGAAATAATGAATACTGAGAAGTATCATCAGATATGGACACACTATCCAGCACCATGGCCTGGGAAGCACCTCCTCAGCAAAGGTTTCGTCTTACAGGACAATAATGATTTTAAACCTGCTGCAAAAACAGATTTTGTGGAGAAAGAGGATGGCGAGGCTCTGTCAGTGTTTCCTTTTTTGTCCTTTTTGATGATGAAAGTCCCTTTTTTGTCACATGACATGACATTTAGAATTATACAATTTAGTTTTATACCGTTTTCCTGGTTCTATTTTTTGTAAAATAACGGGTAATGGTTATTTTTAAATAAAAGATTATTTGAAACAGTAAAAATCATCAACATCTGTGTAGATGAATGAATAAAAGATTATTTGAAACAGTAAAAATGATCAACATCTGTGTAGATGAAAATGCATGTATTGCATTGTGTTAAATACTAAATGCAAAAGTTAAAAAAAAAAAATTTTTAAAAAAAAGCAGCGACAGTAGAAACAGAATAAAATATCAATTTCAGGTTAGAAATGTGTCAACGCAACATTTTCTGAGGTTAAATGTGACTGAGTTCCTGCAGAAAGAAACGAAGGGAAGCTCAGCTTTCATCTGACAGCGGCGTTAAGTGTTTCCTTAACCCTGACCTCCACGTACGTGTGTATGTGTCAGTACGTTAGTAAGTGTCCGAGTGCGTGCGTGTGTGTGAGTTTGTCCATACCACGTATATTATGTTGCCTGGTCAACACGGCCAACATGTCAAATACTGTATATACCAGGTGACCTCATATGACCTCATTGTGTGTGTACGTGTGTGCGTGTCTGTGTTTATTGACGTCAGTTGTAACCAAAGTGCCAACATGACATTGTCCAGTCCGTTTAGGAAAAGCCAGTCATCACTGCAGGGTGACACGCACACACACACACGTACACAGAGTCACCATCTTGTCTGCTACACTGAGCCACTGCTGCTCTAGTCTCTGAAACAAGGAGCGACCATAAAATATTCTGTTTCAGTTGAACAGAATATTGTCAGAGATAACCTAGACTTCTACTGTATATCCTCCCATGTAAGATTTCAAAAACAGAAACAAAAACTCTAAGCATTTGCCAAAAATCGACAACATTTTCTAAAGATATTCTAATGTATAAAATAAAAATAGCTAAAATAAGCCAAAACATAATGTTACAACCTAATAATAAGTATTTCAGAAAATGTATTAAAATATCTTAGCTAAATGCCAAGAGATATTTAGGCTAAGTTGAATATTAAACAACTCAAGGCTAACCATTTTTTAAAAATTCGAGATTTGAAAAATACAAAAACAAACAAACATCCGTACCATTGTCTTCAAAATAGTCCTTTAAGGATTCCCATGTCTTGTTGTTGCAGTAGAAGGTGGCGTTTGTGGGTAGACTGTCGTTGATGCAGTGCGCGGGGCTGCGAACGCACTTCTGCCGTAGGTTTCCCATAAAAAGCTGAAGGCCAATGAGCGCAAAGACACTCAGGCAAAAGACAGTTAGGATCATGACGTCAGCAAGTTTCTTCACCGACTGGATCAGTGCGCCCACGATGGTCTTCAAACCTGAGGGACGCCGCAGACGTGAGAAAAAAAGGGTAGTAAGCAGCTAATCTCACCGTTAGCCAAAAAAAATGTATATCTGACTGAAATAAAAACAAGTACATTTTAGTTTTTGTTTTCTCCATCATTAAGTAAGTGATAATAATAATATATGCTATGTTTTGATTATCTAGAAGGATGTAATTAATTAGCATGGAAAAACACAAAACTTGACAGTGTTAATGAATGTTTATGTTAGCCTTACGGCTAACTGTGCTGACTAATGAACTAGCTCTCATGAATCCCAGTAGGATGTTCTAGTCATGTACAAATAGTTTAACTTTTTTCATTTAAAGAAAGTAGATAAAGTGTCAAATGTCGTGACAACGATGTTGACTGTATGGATTTAAAGAAAGTAGATAAAGTGTCAAACTTCACCAACATTATGTGTCTGTCTAGCTAGCTCAATCTGTATGTTCTGTTTTGGCATGTCACAAATGTTTTCTTTAAACCTGTGGGGTAAAGTGGGGATTATTAGCAGCAGCACCAAAACGCAACACGACACACAACGACTTTCACCACCACCTACATTCATGTTGCAACAAAACACGCCGGCACAAATGTGGTAAGAACAGCAGGAAGTGCAGACAAGTCAACTGTTAACGTTCAGATTTTAGGAAACCAAAGAAACCAGGAAACTCTGTAGATTTCAGTGATTCGTGTTCACAGTTATCAGGGTTTACTTCATTCCTTAGGAACAGACAAAACTCCAAAAATTTTGGCTCGAAATTAATTTACGCTGTTGCTGTTGATGTAACGAGTTCTGTCCGTAATCTAATGAATGACGGTCATGATCATTTAATGTGGGACATGCGAATGCTGCTAACCGTGCTAACGGTATAGCACGTGTTAAAAAAAACATTAGTTCTCATTTTGCTGTCACTTTTTAGCACTGCATGCTAACATGCAAAGTTTGGACATACAAAGGTTAGCCAGCAGTAGATTGGAAGAAAGATGATTGACTTAGATCAACATGACAAAAACAAAATCATCTGTTTTGTTTATTTACAACTTAAAAGGTCCAAGAGTGAACCATGGCTACAGGGAAGACTGCAGTAGCTCCTTTGCTAACTTTGGCAGCAAAAGACGAATTAGACAAAACAAGCGATGATCCTAAACTTACAATACGTCATCTAGAACAGTAAAAACTGATATTTGCTAATATTCACAATTAATATAAAGCAGCAGCCCAGTCTGACTGGGAAAAGTTACAAAATAAAGTTTTTTTGCTGGTAAAAATGGAATGAATACATAACATAAATGTAAAACTTAGATTTTCTGTTTAACCACAAGTCAAAACACCAAAAATATATAAATAAATATGGTGCTGCTGTTGGCTAACGTTTGGATGTTAACTCACAGTAATTGTCACTTGCTTCTTCCTGCACACTATCTCTTTTCTGTGTTAGTGTGGTGATCAGCAGGTAATGTGCAGGAAACACAGGCCATTTTTTTTAGCGCTTGCAGCAGTTTTTGCCAGAGTGCATTTTGTACATTTGGTACTCGCACTCCCCCACATGCCTCTCTCGCTTCCTCACCTGGGATGACAGAGATGGTTTTGAGCGCTCGCAGCACCCTGAACGTCCTTAAGGCTGACACATTACCCAGGTCCACAAACTCAGTCACATATCTGCAACAAGCCGGGAGACAAGCACAAGAACAGACACACACAGAAGGGTATGACCACACTGAACAACAGCGACACAGACGCAGAGAAAAATGAAGGAAAGAAACAGAGAGAGGAGAGAAACAGTGGAGACAGCTTGACAGGAGTGAAAGGGGGAAATCAGGGCTACCAAGCCAGACACAGCAACTGGTTTAGCCGTGGTTGAAAACAAAAACGTCACCTGAGAACGTTCATCTCCATCACCACTGGATTCAGAGGACACATCTGTGGCACTTGAAGACCACTGAGTGCTGTCATCCACTATGAGGTTCTGACCCATACTTAGTGCTGACTTTACTGTGAGCGACCCCTGGACTGAGAAAAGGAGATTCTGGCTCCGTGTAAAAACTACTGCTCACAAAAACTCTGGTTGAAAAGTTGAAGAAAAATGTCTTTTTTTAAAAAAAAAAACAGTTAAAAAATGTGAATTTAAGTCGTTTAAGTGTGAACTATTTCTTTAGCAGTCACCTCAGTGAATGAAATGACCACAAGAGGCAGCAGAGGCACCTAAATTTCAACATCTCCCTGTAGACATTAGTATTGATACGTAAAGCCCTCCCCTGTGTCTCTCTTGAAAATATGTTATAAATGTATTTGAAAAAAATCAAAATACACAATTCCACACTAAATAACACAAGGCTAAATCACAAAAACCTCCAGTTGTCACTGAAGTGTTTGGCTTTGACAGATCTGACTTCACCGTTTCTTTTTTCAGACAAGGTGATTTTTTTTTCTCTTGTGGGCGGGGTTTGTTGCTGCAAGACGGAGGAGACGTGGAACGAACAAGAAAGGACATTCACCACCACGACAATGTCACGAGGACAAAGGGCTCTTTTTTGTTTGTTTGAGTGTTTTAGCTAATCAATGTCGCCCCCTGTTGGTGGTGAGGCCTTACCTGGAATGACTGAGATAGTTTTCAGGGCTCTCAGCACTCTAAAGGTTCTCAGTGCCTGCAGGTTCCCTACTTTGATAAACTCTGTTAACAACCTGTGGGGGGCAGTGTGGTGGTCATGAACAGACAACAGAAGAAGACAAAAATAACAAAGTCTGAAAATACTGTCATTATTTGAAAACTTACACCTGTCTGACGGTAAATGTGAATTTTAATCACCAGACGGGTAAATGCTAACCAACGCTATGGAAGAATGCTAATCTCCTAGCATAGCCAATCATATGGTTTTCTGCTGAAATTTCTGATGCTAATCTCCTAGCATAGCCAATCATACGGTTTTCTGCTGAAATTTGTGCACATGTGAGAACCTAAGGTTGTTGCCTAGTTTTTGTTTGTTAGTTCTATCTAATGAAATCTTGTTATGCTAATTTATGTAGCAGATTTATCCAATTCAACAAAGTAATGGTAAGAAACTGTGCTAATTTATGTAGCAGATTTATCCAAAAAGTAATGGCAAGAAACTAGCTTGGCTACACTAAAATAACAGAACTTGTGGATTTTTCTTTACCAGAAAATTTCCATATGTTCATATAGGAAAAAAACTGGGAGCTGCTGACGAACCTACATCTTCTCACGTTCAAATATGAGAAAAGAACAACATGGGAACTGATTTCCAAGCATGGCATCAGGGCCTGAGACGGCGCCCAGGTGACGGCAGCCATCTTGGCCTGAGTAATCTGATCCTGGGCTGCTAACAGTCCACCATCCCAGCTCATATTTCACTGATGTTGACTGGCAGGCTGATTGGATTACAGAGGAGGCGTTGGAGGACGGCGGAGAGAGAAGAGGACATTTAGATTGAAGGTGGAGACGACCAGCAGAGAGAAACATCAGTTCATCTCTGTGGTCAAAGTGTTCCTACGGTGTGTTAAATATCCACTGATGTCGGCACTTTTTTACATTAACACCGCAGTTTTTCGCACCGGCGAGTCATTTAAGGCTGTTTCTGAAAGTTTTGTCCTCTGAATTTTGTGTTTTAGTACAATTAAATTATTTATATAACAACGAAAGGTGAAATTAAACTGTTCCAAAGTAAAAACATTCAAAGATTGTTGTTGTTTTTTTACTGGATGTAAAATGGTGAATAAACTGATATTTGCGATTAATTCACTGACCTCGACTGAAGTCCATAGAGAAAATCATCATTTTAACTTCACAAAGACCAAACACTGCATCGGGAAAAAAGGCTGCTTTATCTTAGTGTTAAGATGAGTTTTTTTTTTTTTTAAATTTAATCTAAATCTAATCTAAACTGCTCTATCTTTTATGACGTTACATCAGAGAACACGAAGATTTTAAAACACGTTTTAATTCGCAGGTGTTTTGTTGGTGACTCGTGTTTAATATTCATTGTTCACATTTGCCACAGTGACATAAACTGACCACCGGAGGCAGCAGTAAATCAGCAGCTCCCATGTCCTTGAGAGCACTTTGGTTTCAACTTTTCAGAAAAAAAAAATAGGCTAAAGAACAACAAAGCTGCCGTACGTTTGATCAGCTCTGGTTATTTATTTACTTTCTTCAACAAAACACCCGTCGTCGAGTTCTTACTGCAGTTTCTACAGAAGAGGAGATTTTTTTTAGTTAAAATAACGATTTTTTCATTGTGTTAAAACGTCTAGACTGTCTGTAATCTGTGAAAATGTGGGTGCAGTCTGAAGCTGAGGCTGTCGCTGCTGCTGCTGATGGCGGCCATTAACATGTCATTACTGCAGCCATATCAGGCTCAGAGGGGCGGAGCCTGTGTGTGTGTGTCAGTGAGGGGGGTTTGTCAGTGTGTGTGTGTCAGTAAGGGTGTGTGCCTATTTACTGAACATCACTCTGGTTTTAATAAAGCACAGACACAGGGGAGGTGATGTGTCAGGGGCTCCTGCACACGTGTGATGTGAGAAATGTGTGTATGTGTCAGTACAGACACCATTACCAGATTTGTTTGCCTGCGTGGTCAGCCACACCTTTGCCTAACATGTTACTCATCCTCATTGTGTGTGTGTGTGTGTGCGTGTGGTAAAAGGTGACTTATGTGTCCCTGTCCAGCTAAAGATCCATCTGACCCCAGGACAGCCTTTGGTTCAAGGACACACACCTACTGACTGACTGAGTGTGTGTTGGTGTCTGTCTGTGTGTGTGTGTGTGTTAACAGAACAACCCAATCTCAAGGATAATTTACAGTATTCTTAATTTAGTGTCTTTAATTATGTTTTTGTACCGTGTCTAGTTCTATTCTGTTTCCCAGAATGCATTGCAGAGCTCTTAATAATTTCCATTAAGCATGACAGAAGGTTATTTTCGGGGGGTTTTTTCTACAACAATTCTTAGAACAATTTTCATTGAATCATATTGATTTAATTCTGACAATTATGTGTCAATCCACCGTTGCCAACTTGTCTCTGGTTGAATGTGTAAATTTGGTGCGTTAAATTGTTTCGTTTTAAAATACCTCCAGTGACACCAACAGTTGAACCACAGCCTCCACGGGCTAAAATCACTGATTTTCTCAATGGACTTCTGTGTAGGAGGGCAGATAAACTTAAGTTTCTTTTTAGGGAAGGCTGTCAAAAGAGTGAGAGGAAGCAGTTTCATAGCCATTTCTTTTGTTGAGCGACTAAAATCTGTCATCTTTATAGGGTATTATAGGAAATGATCCATGTTCTCTTTCCTGTACAATAGATTTAGAGAAGTAGAACATCCAGAGGAGGAGAACGTGGGCAGACTGTGAAGCTCCTCAGCTCAAGACATCATTTTTAAAAACCTGGGATTTAATGATGAATTTGTCCTTTAAGTGAAGTCATTTATGCCGCTCAGGGATTTTGGCGTCATCAGGTCACCGGGTCTGGCCGCGTGACCCAGCAGATGCGGCGTTTCCCTCCATCTGAGGACACCTCCATCAGGACACTTCAATTTAGAGTATGGCGGCGGCCGAGGTGACAGTGCTTCATTACAGCCGCGTGCTAACCTCAGAGCCGGGGCCCCAGGGGTCAAGTATTGATCAGATCAGTTCATTGTGATCGTTTATCTTCCCGCTGGCGTCTCTCGCTGCACGCCTTTCAGCTCCTCAGCTCAGTGATTGATCGCCGCCTGATTGCTAACCAAACCAAATGCTAGCGATTTTCCATCAGTCAGTCAATTACAGAAGTGGGCAGGTCATGCTCCGAAACAAAAACCCACCGGCTGTCGCTAGCAGAGGAGGCGTGGCCGAAGGCCTTCAGAGGAGAGTCAGTGAGGTCACAGAGACGACCGAGATTTTTAAACCTGGAGTTTGTTTTTCTCTGAGCACAAAGTATGTTTTTCTGGGGTTTTTTTAATTGTATTTTTTCCACGTGGATGTGTGTGTGTGTGTGTTTGTTTCACTCACGCCATGGTGATGACACTGAAGTCCAACCAATTCCATGGATCCCTCAGGAAGGTGAACGGTCCCACGCAGAAACCACGGGCCAGGATTTTTATTAGAGATTCAAACGTGTAGATACCTGTGAAGGTGTACCTGAGGGACACGNATGATGTTGATGTATCTTTCAGACTTACTCCAGGTATTTGGCCCAGTACGCTGGCTCTGACATGGCCATGAAGCAGCAGTTGGTCAGGATGGTGCACATGATGAACAGACTGAATAATGTGAGCAGGTTAAGGAACAAGACGCAGTAACATCAAGCACATCAACAAAACTGTTTAATAGTTAGTCGTAATAAAAGGAGGAAAACAGGAAAAAGAAGAAATGATGTTTTGTTTTTTTTAGATTTTTTTTCTCTTTACCACAATTAAGGTAAAGAGAAAAAGAAATCTGAATAAGTGATAAAGTTAAAGCAATAAGTTTTATGGAACTAAATAATTCATAATTAAACAATAATTATTCGCCACATTTATTCATAGATTTAAGTTGATGATACTGTTTTATCAATGTTTGCTCCAAATATGACGATTCAGAAATGTGTTTGTTTTTACCCTTTGGAGAAAATAAAACAATCACCTGTGTTAGACTGAATGGTTTTTAAATAAAGCATAAAGCGCTAATCGAATGTTCAATCAAATGGACAACGAGCTCGTACGTTTTCTTCTTACATCACGGCTCTAATGCCTTCATTAATGTGGTCTTGTGCCTTTAACTGATGTGTGGCCCAGTTTGACAGCAGATTAAAATTCCATTTAAAGGGACCAGAGAAGAAAACGCCGGGCCTCTGTCTGATCAGAGCCGGAACTTTCTAAAGCAGCACACGCTAACGATCACCTTCACCTGCCGTGTCGAAAACACCACACGCAATGTGGTGGGAGAGTGAGCCGGCTGTGCTGTCAATCACAGCTATAAATGAATCATAATTATTGTAATTTGACAGAGGGAACATGCTCCCCGTGTGAGCGCCGCCTCAACTCCGGCTCAGAGTCGTTTGAGCGGCGGGCTAATTGTTGATTGAGCGCCAACTCTAATGATGTTGCTGGAGCGCAGTGGTAGGCGGCGAGGTAACACGGTTACCGATTGACAAACAACGCAAATGTTCCCCCGCCGCCACTGCTGCCACAGAGCCAGGAGCTAATTATGCCATAATGACAGCTCTGATGTTTTGGACCTCCCAGGCCACCATACCATAATGTCATTACACCTCCCACCGCCACGGCAGGAGTCGGCTTCCTGCTTCACCTGAGCATTTTTCCTCTCCCTTCGTCTTTCCATTCCCCGGTGTTTCCCTCTGACTTAATCAGAGTCAAAGGTGAATTCAAGGAGTCCTGGAGGAGGGTGTGTTCAATTGACTGGATTCTTCCTTTAAGGAACTTTGACCTTTGAGTGACTCTTTAAGCAGCTAAGGTCAGGGCAGGACTGTAGCTTAGCTCGATCAGACGACCTGCAGATTTCACTAAAAAAAAAAAAGTAAGAGATGACAATTCTGTTTTCCAGACTTTGATCAGTAGGTGGACAAAAGGACGTGACCCATTTGTGTGATTCATAAATGTCACTCATCGAGGCCATTTTGTAGAAGCCTAACATTTTAGAAGAACAATGTTTTTTTTTTTTAAACTAAAACCCAGCAGTCGGTTGTCGGTGCCACTTCCAGACCCAGATTTCTGTTCAAACAGTCGTGACGTTGTCCCAGCTCTGGTTCAGAGCGTCAGGAAAGGCGGAAATTCCTTAACAGTGAGAACGTCCAACGGTTTTGTTTTTTTTTTTCATGTTAATTCCAGAAACAGAGTGTAAGCGTGCGGCCTCACTCCACACCTTGTCATCGTGGCGCCACCACAGCTGGGCAGACCTCCAGGCTGCACTTGATCGCTTGCAAACACTTTCAAACGACTCAAACATAAGAGAATAAAACCCACTTCAGCTCTACGTCTGCTCTTAGAACATTTTTGATTTCTCTCCGTCTCTCTCTCTCACACACACACACACACACTGTGCCGACCTCTTCACCCTTTCATCTCCTGACAACAGCGGTGTGTCCAACGGCTCGATGTCGCTCAACACCAGAAGCCGCCGCCAGCAGTAAAAATAGATAAGTGTGGTGTGGAGGGTGGGGGGGTAAAGGTGTGTGTGTGTGTGTGTGTGTTGGTGTCGCTGTGTGTTGGACAGAGCTGTTGAGTTTAAGGTGTGAACTCATATCTGTCATGTTGACGTCTGGAGTCTGAGGGCCGATGGACGCCTGCGAGTGACACGAAATATCGAGACCTTTTATGCAGATGCAGACGCAAATCCACATCACGGCCATGTTCACAAAAAAAAAAACAAAAAAAAAACACAGATGGTGCTAATGTCCGTTTATCTTTCCATTTATCATTTGTCCCAGCCTGAGTCCTACACGCAGGTCACCGTGTTCTGAGCGCCCTCAGCGCTGAGTGGTGGCCATTTAAGGTTAGCATAAGGCGAGAGGAAAACATACAGTCGCTGCCAACTGTGACGGCAGAAGAAAACATGGGCATGTATGGAAGGCACATCAGATTACGTCTAGAATATTCCAAAACTCATCTCATTGGCTGCCTTTTCTAACAGTGAAGGACATGTGGACTTAGTTTTCAGGGACAGTCGGTGACTTCACGTTACTGCGGACACGCTGGAGAACTTCTGCCTCACACAACGTTATTTTACTATGTTGGAATTCTAAACTCTTGGTTCAAACAAACGTCAGTGGCACAAACTGACCACATGGGGCAGCAAAATACACATTTAAGGATATGAGTGGACCAGGACCTTGATGGCGATTCTGCGTACAGGATGAAATGGACTCAAGATGTAGAGAGCAGATGTGGCACTGAAACGGAAGATGGCTTTTCCTTTGTTCAGGACTATGAAAGTCTGAAAGAGAGACAAAACAAAGGAAGAGAAACACGTTGAAATACACACACACACCTATATATACACACACACAAACACACACACACCTATACACACACACAGGTTTTCTGTGAACTTGGCAAGCAAAGAGTCAATTAATCTTCCAAGGATTCGCCGACAGAGACGGGGGACATTTCCAGAAAACTCAAATCCACACACTGAGTGACACACACACACACTTACACACACACACACACACTAACAGCCTACCCTCTGGTCTTTGAAGTAGTATGGATCGATGTCTTCCAGGGGAACGCCCACCAGATGAGACGGGATCTCAGCAAAGATGCGTGGCAGTGTTTTTCCTGCCTCCAGGTCGGGCCTGGGCCGGGGAAGCTCCACATCTCCCAGGTCCTGATATTTCACATACACACACACACACACACAGAGTACACAAACATTTACACAAGTACACACAGACACATTACTGTGTCTCTAAAACCCCTCAGATCTTTTTCCTGAAGCTGTTCTGTGTCTTACGGTGTCAGGTTTCATCCGCCTCCTTTTCCTAATTGCTGCAATGATGATGTCTCCAGGAGTGTGTGTTGCTGTGTGTGCGCGTGCGTGTGTGTGTACCTCCTGGTACTGTTTGTTTTGTCGGGACTGCTCCTGGACGATGCGCTGCTCGATGGCCGCCAGGGAGTCCGGCGTGAAGCGCTGAAAGCTCTCTGGTCCCATTGGAAACACAAAGCCAGCCATCTTCTCATCCTGATCCTCCTGCTGACCGGCCCGGTATACCAGCTGAGAAGAACAAGTGACCGCCAGGTTAAAACCCACAGACCATCATTTTAAAACTTTTAAAGCTGTTCTTGAAATTCAGACACTGGTGGATTTTAATTGCTCCTCAAATTTATATTATTTTTAACCTAGTTTGACAATGTCGGGCTCACCTTGCAAACCACACACACAAAGTCCTTTGCTGTGTAGAGCAGCTTATTTTAAAAGTGCATTACATTTCAACCAATCAAATATCACTGGGTAAGAGAGCCGGAAGGTAAACCACAAGTAAAATGAGCCACAAATATCTTTAAGCCTAAAGAGTTAGTCCAAGAACAGCTTGAATTTAAAAAAAAAAAAACAATAGCAAATATTAATAAAAGAATGTGTTCATAAAATGCACAAACATCATACACTTTTCTTTACAACAGGGGGCGTTAGTGTTGTTATAAGAAGCAAAAAGGAATCATTTCTCTTTTTTAAAAAAGGATGATGTTTCCTTTTTTGGACTCCTCCAGTTTAAGATGAGGAGTGTTTGATTCGAGAGCCTCGAGTGTCTCGTTGTCTTCTCTCTCTGGATGATTGCTCGTGACCAACGTCAGCTGCTTTAGCAACAAAGCAATCACTCACAGCCTACTGACTCTCAACTCTTGTCTACTGACCCCGGGCTGATGATGTCCACGCAACGCGGACCACAGACAGGTTTTTTTTTTTTTTTAAAAGCATGAACTGGTATTTAAGTTTGGAGCGAAAAACGGTGATGTTTTTGGTTAATGCTTGATTTTCATGATGAACACCTGAAACTGAACTATCGCTGATGGGCTCTTGAATCACCCACAACAGCTAAAACTGAGGCTAACAAGTGTTTTCATCTAGTTAACAGGCCTGGCCACAAATTAGGGGAAATACTGAAACACAACGAGCCCTGAATCAGACATGACATCACCTGAACATCAGAGTCACGAGACGAGGGGAAATACTTTGACTAAATATTTGAATGTTGTTATAAGTGAAATTGTTCCCCTACAACAAGTTGTGCTGCCACCTAGAGACTTATCTTATTGTAAAAGTATCTTATGGTAAAAGTAAAATAGTCCAGAGAACTCCATTTCAAACACTAAAAATTTAAGATGATTGTCCTTCCGTGTGGATGTCGGCTACAGTGAGTACGTGACTAAGTAACGGAGCAGAATGGAAACAGATCATCGACACGTGTGTGTGTGTGACTGGGTGGATGACAGCTTTTGATAAGAATGGAAAGCAGAGCTAGATTATCCTTTGATGTGGACACACACACACACAGAGAAGCACAGACACACAACTCAGAAATCAGATTTGGGAGCTGTGAAGAATAACTGCATGAAAGGTTGAAAAACGAGGCCTGTCGAATCATTCAATTACCATCAAGGAGGCAGATGGTCTCCACACACACACACACACACACACACACACAAACTTGGACTCTTGTCTAAGATGCTGGACACTGCCTTTGCTAACGTAGCACCTGCAGCCACCAGTGGAGCCACATTAGCTTAGCTCATCAATACTTGTAATTAGTCGTCCTAATGTCTGTGTGTTCAGTGTTAACAGATGTCCACTGTTGTACAGTAAAGTTAGTCTCAGAGTACATCTGGAGTTCTGACTCTTTACTTCTAACACTCACTATAAATATCTGGTTAAAAAAATATTTCAAATTCGTTAATTTTCTTCGTTTTAAAGCAGCTACTAAATCAACGATCTTTGTTTTAAATAAATCATATTTAATTCATGTAAGTGAACATCCCTGGTCTCAGTGTCTGGTTTTGGGTCGTTTTCTATTAAGAAATAATGTGAGTTTTAATAAAAGCAGGAAAGGAAAACAGACAATAATACAATATATATATATTATTATATATATATATATAATATAATAATCCTCGTAGTCATGTTCTTAATAAGGAAACTCTCCGTCTATGGCCTCCGTGGCTGCAGAGTCATCTCAGATTAGTCAGATCTTTAAACGTCCTGACAGGCAGAAAGTTTGCTTCCTTTTGTTGCGTCTTCCAGTCAGGCTTCCATCACAGCCTCCCACTCTCTCTGTCTCTGTGCTGTTAGATAATAACCTGAGAGAGGGCAGGCTCTACAGCTCTTCTGGCTGCTTTGCTCAAGGGTCAGAAGGAACTCGGAGTCCCTGACAACCGGCTGATGTGGGGACAGAACAAGAGTTTAAGTGACAGATACTCAAAGCCAGGCGAGTGTGTTATGAAACGCAGAGAGGAGGCAGGAACCGTAGCGGGTTTCTGGGTCAAAGCACCAACACAGACGAAGCAGCGCTGCCCCCAGGAAAGACACATACACCACATACGACACGCGGTGAAGAAGCAGACACGCTACACTTTATAACTGCAGTTTACGTGCGTGGACATGTGGTTGAATGAGGCGAAAGTGACGGCCATTAGTGCATACAGTAAATAACAATCTGGTTTTAAAAAAAACAAGTTAACCAAACCTGCTTTACCCAGTGTAAACAGTTCAGGTCCTTAGAGACTTGAGAACTTAAACTAAGTTTTAAAAGCAAGCAAGCTAGCCCTGAACTGATCAACTACATTAACGAGTGCTAAAACAAAGCTAGCACGTTCTTTAGGCAAACTAACAGATCATTTAAAACGTGTTCATGTCTTTACATCAACATTCCTAATCTTTAATTCAGGCAAAGCAGAATTGAAAAACAAGTAAATAAAGGACCGTAAAAAAAGGCTAATAAGCGCTAAACTGAGCCCGCTGGATCTTAAACAAACCGTTTAAAACTCTGACATTGAGCTCCTAAACTAACTTGACAAACTGTAAAAGGTCTTTAAACCAAGACTTACAAAACAGCTGACAACAAGGGAGGCCCAAGCTAGTAAAACACTGACCAAGCTAGCGGGCACTTTAACTGAGCTAATGTGACAAATTAATGAAGCAGTCTGAAGTATCGGACTTAAATGGTAACCAGAAAGATGTCAAACAGTGTGACCCTAAAGAAAAAGTCCTATGAATAGACCACTTCCAGCGTGCGAAAATAAGCAACGCAATCAAACGGCAACAAAACACTGACGCCAACACACCTGCAGCAGCAGCGGTGGTAGTGAACAGGAGGCACTTTTAATTTGGCTAAAAGGAAAACCATTATGACACTGTGCTGCTGCCACCGTCACTGCTGCTGCTGCTGCTGCTGCTCATTACAAGACATGACTCAGGGCTCAGACGTAGAGCAGTCACCACAGAAGACCACTGAGGCCTGTTTGTCTTCAAGATGGTTGAGGGACGGGGCTTCTGTTGTGGGTGGTTAGTGGGTGAAGGTTGACCCTGACACGCAGACGCCTCCGTGCGTCATTTTAAAGCTCAGTGTTGGATGACAGCGATTCACACCTTCACAGTACAATCTCACTTTAACGGAGATGGTGCTGTTTTTCTGCTGCAGACACCGAAGACTGAGGTTTTTCAGAGGAACATGAAATAATTATAATAATGAAGACGCCGATTTTTACCATTAGGTCTGTGTCTTCTACTGCACTTCTACGTCATTTCTTTTAAATGTCTGTGCCGAGCCAGAAACTAAAGCCTTTCTGTTCAGACTCCAGTGCGTGAGTTTGAAAAAAGCATTGTTAAAAGAACGGAAAAAAGATAATTAACATTTTGTCTGGAAGCAGCTCAAAAACTACAAAAACTGTGGAAAGCATCCAAAAAAGAATAAAAATTTTAAACAACTGAATGTTAAACAAAACACACCAGGATTTATCTTAAGAAAACTGTAGTAATACAAAGATAAAAAAATATGATTGGTTTAAGAACTAAATAGTCCACAAAACATTCCCAGAACGACAAAAGGCAGCAATTAGCTAAATGTAAAATTTAAAATACATTTCAGAAATTTAAAAACAGCAAATGTAACAGCACACCAAATAAAGCTTGAAGAGCTCAAAAACCCAGAACAGTTTTGTCGTATGTTTCGTGTGTTTTAAAGCTGAAGAAACACGTGATGATTGAACTGAAGTGAGCAGCGTCATCATCACAGGCCTCTGAGCTCAGGGGTCAGGGGTGCTCAGGAGTCAGGGGTCAGGGGTCAGGGGAGCACCATGTGAGGAGCAGAGGTGGACCAGAACAACAACCAGCAGCTAAGCAGCCAATGACAGGTCGTCAGAGTGGATCAGTCAACCTCCCAGCAGAAACAGGACCAGGGTTTTCATCAGGACAGAGACTGATGTGACTTCCACTCTCCACTACGGTGCTGGAGAGTGAGAGGTTTGCAAACAAGAGTTGTCAAGTCAGCTTTAAATCAGTACGGTCTGTCATTCCACCGGGCTGGTGGCGTGTTGTTGGTCACTTGTTCTTTTATTTTTTATAGAACTCATGTGGGGTCTACAAAATAAAGCAGTGAACTTACTGTACAGCAGTAGTCACTGGTAACCAAAGCTAACCATCAGCTACAAAGAGAAAAAAAAACCTGAACTGGCCCTTTAAAGGTCCGGCTGAAGAAAGCCGTACAGGTTGTGTTATTTTAACGTCACAGATGACCGGTTTCTTCCGTGTATTTACTTGTTTTCTTCCGAGGGCCGAGGCCGAGCGTCCACTCTCTGACGAGGATTTGCCGACACCTATCAAACTCGTTATCGTCACGGCGACCTTGACCAGAATATGAACTGACAGCAGCTATAGTGTGAGCGTGTTAATAACCAGAGCAGAGCCACTCAGAGTGGACCCTCACACAGACCTCAGACACATTAAATGGACATTATCATGTTGACATTTCTTTGTCTTGGCGAGTGGGAACACAAAAAGGTCCATAATGGAACATCTACCGTCCCACTGAGCTGAAGTGTGAGCTTTGTTTTTTTATTTTTATTATTTTATCCTTGAAATGTGTTTATTCAGAAACAGTGAGTTCAGCTCACAGGAACATAAGAGCTGCTGATCTACTGCTGCCCCTTGTGGACAGTTTGTGTCACTGAGGTAAACCAGAACGACTTTAAAAATCGTAGAAGAACTTAGTGACGGAGGCAGCA